TCTAATTACACAGTTTCTTCAGAAAACCTAAAACTGAACCCTGGCACTTTTTTGCTATGTGATGTATGTGGCACATGAAAAATCACAAGTTGAGTAGGCCTTAATGTTTATAAAGCACTGCAAAGCTTCAGGAAGTCGTATGCTGCCAGTCTGCTCGTGGATGAAATCAGCAATAAACAGCTGGCCATGATTGTCCAGTTTTTGACTATGATGATGTAGTATGAACAGGGAATTATTCGTCTGCTAATAGTGGCAAATGAACCATTTTCTAGTCTGGTGTAAAATCCATTTACTCAATAACAAATAGATTTTTTTTATTGGGAAAGTGAGTTATTTTATTAAAACTAGGGGTTTTGTGATATACCAGCATTAACAATGATTAGGACATTTAAAAATAAAAACACATGTAACATTTCTGTTTTTGTAAAGCTTATGCATGCTCACACATGCACACATATCAGGCGTTGCTAGTTAGTGGGGACATCTCATTGACATAATGCTTTCCCTAGCTGCTTATCCTAACCCTAACCATCAAAAATGAATGCTTTACCCTAAACCTAACCATAACCCAATTGTAACCCTGACGCTAAAGCCACATTTTGAGTGTGAAAAATGCCTTCAACCCCATAGGCACCTGGATTTTGGTCCACATGAGGGCTGTCGGTCCCCACCAGTGTAGTAAATTTGAGATTTTGGTCCCCACCAAGACTCTAAAACACACACACACACACACACACACACACACACACACACACACACACTTTTGTTATAAGTTTAATTTCATTTGCCCAAAAACAAAATTTTTATGGAATAATTACTTTTATTGCTGTTCAGATTTTATATTCTATAGATCATAAATAAATAATGATGTAGTGATTTTATTTCAGCTCTCAGTAAAAGCTATAAAAGTCAACATAAAGCACGTTGTTATAATGGTACATCTGCAACTCTTCACTTGACATGTGCATTTTTTTATTTTTTGGGGGGAGAGAATAAAGTGATTATCCACAGTTTTGTTTGGGTTTTTTGGCCACTAATTTATATGCTGTTATGATGATTATTTAAGCCTTTATGAAGGGCACTCCAGTATGTATGTATGTGGGATTGTAATCTAGCGTTTGTATGTTAATGGAATTGATGGAGCTGTATCAAGGTTTTGTGGTGGGTGGAATTGAAAATACTGCGAAACACAAATAAACCTAAACAAAACCTTGAATGTCGACCAACTAGATGGAAGGCCTCTGGACTCTGCAGCTGGATTTTAAATGTATAAAAAGCTACCTTGACCTCGCTAATTGAAATGGAAGGTTTCCATCAGAGTTAACAAGGTCAGCTGTGCTCACAGCAGGTGCGTAATGAAAAAATGGGAAGTTGCACGGGGTAAATAATTTGGTTTGTTTAAATGGAATGATGCATGTTTTGTTGCACAAATATAATTTACTGAGTGAAAAGCAGTGAGGACAAAAGTTTTGGCTTTAGGCCAGTGTCAGTTTTAATCACTGGCTTGTAGCTGAAATACCAATCTGCTCTTAGAAAAAAAAACAACATTTTGGGGAATAGATTCATTTTCCCTTTTTAAATCTGGTCTATATTTACAACTGCTTCTGGTTTTGTGCTCTGCTCTGTGTGTAAACTTTCTTGCGGGTGTGATCACTATTACTTGATGTCCCTTTAGACCCCCTGGGTCCCTTTAGAAATAATGTCATGTGCCTGTAGGGGATTAGTTTATAGCATAAATAGCTAGCCTAAATAATGCAAACCCTCACTGGACCTCTGCTCTTAATTACTACAGCTTTTGGAGCACCTTTTGTGGAGTGTTGTTCCTTGATCTGTATCTGTTTGCTTCTAATAATACTGTGTTTCTAAGGACTCCGTGTACCTAATTGACTCTTAAGCCATTACTTAGAGACTACAAATAGCCATGAGACAAACTCATCTTTTGGGATCTGGGGACAACTAGTCAGCAGTTATTATGTGGTCAGGTTCACTTCATCTAAATCATGTATTTCTGTGATGATGATAAAGATTCAAGTAAACTGCTTATCCAAAGAAGGCAGTCTCAATTAAATGTGGTGGTGGAGTGGTAGCTGTAGAGCTGCAAATACCCACTGTGTGTGTGAGTGCACACACCCAGTTTGTTGGTGACTTATTGCTTTTTGGCAAAGATACTACACTGACATCATTCCCTGTTAGAAATCACAGCTGGAACGCTGCAGCACATTTTCAGCGACAGCACTAAAGCACCACATAGTGGACCAAAGAGAGACTAGCAGCGAAACCTTAATATATGTTGATGCTCTTAAATAGTATAGAGACTGACATTTAGGTAAGCATTTGTTATTTTAAGGGTCTCACTTTTGTATCACTTAATTAAATCCACCAACCAAGAAGGTTATCTGATTGATTCAATTAATATATTTCTGTTTGTTTGTCTGATTGTTAACAGAATTTTTCAAAAATTCGAGCCAGAGTTGGGTGAAAACATTTTCCTGGGGTAGAGCTCGATCCAACTGGAAAGTGGTCAACTTTTTTTTAATTGGAATTTTGGAAGCATTTTATGCCATCAAAGCTGAGGCAAAATTAGAAATTTCCTTTCATATCTTCACAAAACTCTTTAATTGAAACAAGAAAAACTGGGAAACATCGTCTTAATGTTCTCAAGAAAATATCACAAGCTAACACGGATGGATCCATGGATGCAATCTCAAACGTGCTGTTTTTGCTGTTTCTGTATTTAATTTTGAGCTGATTTGTAGAAAAAAATATTTGGAGCTTGATAAAAGAGGAAATTGGTTTTATAACTGAAAACATTCTTTGCTTCTTGCTTTTCCAGAGTGAGAATTATCTGTTTTTGTCTCTTTTTGCTTCATTTTTAATTGATTACTATCAGTTTTTCTTGTGGGATGTGGGGGTCTGTAAATCGGATAGCACCAGATATTAAATTTGTTTCCTAATTTACTGGTGTTCATAGACAGTGTGACAAAATATTTACTGGAAAAATTATAGACAGCTAAGTGGATCGTTGAGGCTGTCGTTGGCGCCCTACTCCTAAAGTGTTATCCCGAGTACTCTACATTGTGGGGATTGTTAGAGCCCCCCCCCCCAGCTCTAACATTATTCAGTAAACACAGCTAGTCTCAGACAGTCCAACTGAGATCATATTTTTTATCTTCAGAGCATTTTTAACCAATTTTAAAGCTGGTTAAAAATGAAAATCAAAGGTTCCTCTCCCAGTATGCACTGCTTTTTAGATCTGATTAATTTCCCTCGCAGATCAGATACATGTGGTCTTTGGTATCCCATCTCAATTATGCCAATTCATGATTGGCATGACTAATTAAAATATCGTACAAATTTAATTAACTTGTCTGTCACTCCTGTCACGCTTCTATCAGCAATTTTCATACCGTGAAGAAGACAAAGCAACTTGGCTGCAGCTATTAGCTATGCCTTTAGTAAGAAAACATATGGTTCATTAAAATCTGTTAAGATACATGGAGGTGGCATCCAAGGAAGTCATGTAACACCTTTTTTTCCAGACAGAAGAGTGAAGTATTTCAATTTACAGCATTTTGACCCAGACAAAACTAACCGTGCTGCCACGTTTCTGTTGAGCTGACTAGAACTCGCTGTGTGACTTTATTGAAGTTTTGTTGGAAAATCAAAGTTTGTTTTGTGTCGATCACATCAGAGATTATCTCTCACACGTTGGCTTGCAACAGCTTTTAGCTTGCACCTTTTTCTTTCTTTCTTTCTTTTTTTTGTAAATCTCCCCCCCCCCTCATTTGTGTGCGTGTCTCCGCGTGTGTGGTTGAAGCTACTCTCCAGGTCCTCATTACTACTAGTCTTCCCCTTGCCATTGGACTAGGGGCACCCTGGCATCTGCCCAGCTGGTGGCACTGCATTCAGCACAGGCTGGCTTCTTCACTGGCAAACTATCAATCCTCTGCAGTGGATCTACCGCTGAGCTCAAGTGCTGTCTGAAAACCTGTCATCTGCTTGTTGCCCAAAGTTCAGAGGGCTGGTTAGATGGGCTGTGTTTGTACAGCATGTACAAATGTGGGTTTTCTATATTTATATAGAGAACTACTAATCTGTCAGGAAATCAGATCATTAGGGATGAATTGCTCAGTAAAACCTGAAATGGGTTCCTTCCCAGGTAAATAATAATAATAATAATAATAATAATAATAATAATAATAAAGTTTTTAAAAGAGCCCAATAGCAATTTTCAGTCACCTGTGCATGATTAAGTAAATATTCTGTAAGTATGCAAATCTAAAAAGAGCAGCATGGCGCGACATCTGACGTATAAATGTACATTTTTTGTTTGTCCATGGAGAATTCAGCCTCAATCCCAACCCTCTGTACGACGCTGTAAGTGTTCACAAAGTGAAATGTAAAGTGCAAGTCTTAGAAAGTGTTGGCTGGAACAAACCTAACAATATGCATTTGATCCGATGCGCTCACATCTATCTCTCCGTAAATTTAAAGCAAATATAGAGCTGAATCCAAACAAAAGGGTGTGGTCCAGTAAAAAAGCCAGCAGTCTGTAGGTTTTTTTTAAACCGATGGATTCTTTTGTTGGAACGAAAACCAACAGAAGGTTGAGTTTCCATGTCACAGGATGATTTCCCATTGCTGGTCTATGATATGACACACCGAGCCTTTGTACAGATTATCAAAGCATAAAAGATTTTCTTTGAGATGTAGTAGTAATTACTGAGCTTTTCATCTTTTTAAAAGCATACAGAGTAATTACATAAACATCCCAATACAAGCAACTATTAGAGCTGCTTTTGTGTGGAAGCCTCACTGGAGATTCATCTAATGCATTAACCTAACAGCTTCTCTGTCGCCGTACGATTATCCTGTCTCTGCTGCTTTCTTTTAACTGCCTGTAATATTATCACTAAACAGCTCCTTTGCCTCCCTCAGCGATAATTTTAGTGGGTGAGGTAGGCAGATATTTAATAGAAGTATCTTCCAGAATCTGCAGTGATTCATTGTGAACAGCAGGCTTTGTGCCCCCCCCCTCCTTTCTCAATTCATGGTACTCCCTCTTTTCTGCTGTCCAAATCCTATCAAGCTGTCATTTCAAAGTCCGGTGTGATTTGGGTTTTGCCCCGGGGTGGTGCACAATTAAAGCTCTGCTTGGCCCAAATAAGGGACACACAAAAACTGCTGGCACCTCCTCAAGGCTTACATCATCTTTCTCCTTTTTTTGAAACTTCTTTTATGTTTCCTGCTGTCTCTCTACCCCCCTCCCTCTCTCTCTCTCTCTCTCTCTGTCTGTCCTTTTCTATCCCTCCTTTCCTTTTGGCCCTCTTTCGTTCTCTCCCTCCCTTCTCGCTTTAATTT